ACATGAAGAAAAAATCTGAAGATTTAAACAAATGTTTCAATGTCAATGTTTCCCTTTTTCCTTTTTCAGTACTGGTTTTGTTTTCAATGCCAATTTTTTTTTGGATGCCAAATGTTAAAGTCACCGTCGTGGCTCCATAGGGATCAATATACCAACCTTCTGATCAGTGATCAATGGAAAACTGCAATACAAATACAGTCACTAACCACATGTGATCTCAAAAACATGTGTGCCATGACATATCTGTCTCTGCAGCAACACAAATTAATTAATGATTGATTTGTATGTAAGTGCATCTGTATAAACATACTATAACCATAACTTGCAAATATTATCTGGTCTTTATGTGTGTGTCTTAATGTGTGTGTTATCATCATATTTTTTTTTCAGATGATACTGCTCTTGCTATTTTGCTTGATTCATTTCGTCTTTCACCCTCTGCTGGATATTTAAGAGTCAATATGAGTGACCAGGACCAGCGTTAGCTACTTATCCTTACCTTTATGTGTGCTTTGGCTTTGTTGAGCAGGCCCAGGGTTGTGTGACGGTTGCAGTCGGGTCCCAGGGGTATGAGGGCCTTCAACCGCTCCAGACACAGCCGCAGGTGAGCTCGTCTACAGAGCAAAGACAGAAACGGAAAGACAAACAGAATGATTAGATACATGAGAAGCGGAGAGCTAATCCCTGGACAGTGACATGTTAAATGTATTGTATGCTGGTAGTTAAATGTCTTGCTCAGAAGCAGCTGGGCAATTGTTCAGGCAAATGGGAGGGTTACTCATTCAGTTACCAACCAGTCCATGGCAACCCCCAAAAGTTAGGGGAAGTTTACCCTAAAACACCAGCTGTTGGTGATGCACCTTGCGTTCCTCTGCCCTCGTCATTCTCTATCTCATTGTGCAGAAATAACTGCCGAAACACAGATCTCAGGCTATTTTTACGACTTCACACCCACGGCAAGAAAAAGCAAAAACAACCCACAACTGTTGTTAGTGGGTTCTAGTGATTTCTAAACACATTAAAGGCACCTGAGGGTGGGAAGATCTGCGGTTCAGCAGTATTCTGTCATCTTGGTATATAGGCTCATTAAGACACACTGTATTCTTATTTTGTATTGTAAATCCCCAGCTTGTAGTTGAAACACACAGCAGGTTACATATGAGTCATGTCCGATGTATGCCATAAGACGATACATCATCCTCAGCTGGTATTTCTCGCGCCCAGCTTCAGTTACCCTGCTTGCCTACATAACGAACAACAGGTCCCAGCTGATGGGGAGGGTGGGGGCAGGGAGGAGAGGTGTAATGGCATTTCCTTGGCCCTGCTCGGCTCGTACGCTCCATCATCCTGACAGTCCCTTCTTCTGTGACTGCAGACAGGCCCCGCGTACTATCTGTCCTGCTAATGGCCCCGAGTTGAGAGGTAAAGAGAGATAATTGTGGCTATAACACAATCAGTGCTCCATTAGCAGGAGCTGCCCTTTCAGCCGGCCTGAGGGGAACAGCGGAGAGACATTAAGAGTCAGTGGACTCAGTGGAGCGACCCAGACTCAGGAACTATCTCTGGGGGAGCCTAAAGGAGACGAACACAGGGGACCAGAGCAGGAATTCACCACACTGATATCTCTGGGCTAGACTGCTCTCTGCTATGCTCTGCTGCTTTAACACTGGTGGAGGCATGTGAGCGCTGGCTAGAGTATATCTATAAGTGTGTGGGTGTGTGTTTGTGTGTGAGAGAGAAGGGTGGTTCAGCTATGCATGGATGCTGCTGATAAGAACACGAGAGCAGAGCAAGCCATTACGCCAGTTCAGTACGTGCGAGTGTTTGCTTCAACTACGTGAAGACGACGAGTGCTGCTTCAGTCTGTAAAAGACAGTCTGCGATATCAGTCGAGCTCAGGTCATCAGTTGAATTTGTCCACCTTTTCTCTTTATCTGTGTTTGTCTCATTCGAACCCCGACATCACCACACACGTGAACACAGATATCAGCTGGCAATTAATCACGTTCTACTCTTTGGCAGCAGCCCGAGGGGAAACACGCAGCTCCATCTGGGAGAAGTGTAGGTTAACTACAGAGAGGACAACATGGAGAATGTGTGTCAGGAATTACAGTTCTGACCATTCAACGCTGTAGTTATAATAATCACTCGATCACGTGGAAACGAGGCATAGAGTGTGTTTTACTGAAGGTTTCTGCTTAACCCTTTTTAAAGTAAGTAGGCCACGTACATGCAATGTTTCAACATGGCTGACATTCAATAAATAATTGATTGTGCAGCTGGAGCCGAAGAGCAAATATCACATCATTTCTCATGAACGTGCAATTTTTTATCCTAAAACTACAATACTCACTCATGTGCAGTGTAAGGACATTTTGCTCTCTCTTTTACAAACTTTTTTTCCACACGCGGACAGAACACTCTGGTCATGTGTCTGTCTGTCTGTCTGCCTGTCTGTCTGTCTGTCTGTCTGTCTGTCTGTCTGGCGTCGA